ACCACATTACCCAGGAGGCTTAGAGAACAGATGTTCTGGTTAACTGGATTTGCCAGATATCTTAAGGCTAATTGGCAATGCCTTTTAATGCCTGGCTTTAATAGCAAAAAATTAGAAAGACCAAAATGTCCAGCAATAGGGGACTTGCATATGTAAGTTGTTCATTTAATGGAATACTATGAAGTCATTCCAAATGTTACAAAAAAAGTTCAGCAACTGGAGAAATTGTTATACATATATATTTTTAAATTTTATGTATGTATGTATTTATTTGGCTGTCTTGGGTCTTTATTGCTGCTTGCTGGCTTTCTCTAGTTGCGGTGAGCAGGGGCTACTCTTTGTTGCGGTGCTCAGTCTTCTCACTGCAGTGGCTTCTCTTGTTGTGGAGCATGGGCTCTAGGTGCACGGGCTTCAGTAGTTGTGGCTCGTGGGCTCCAGAGCACAGGCTCAGTATTTGCGGTGCACGGGCTTAGTTGCTCCCTGTCATGTGGGATATTCCCGGACCAGGGCTTTAACCCGTGTCCCCTGCATTGGCAGGCAGATTCTTAACCACTGCACCACCAGGGAAGTCCAGAAATTGTTATACTAAGTGAAAAGTTTCGGAACAGTAGGACGGAATTAGCCCTTGTTTGTAAATTTTTTTTTTTTTTTTTTTTTTTTGCGGGATCTTAGTTCCCTGACCAGGGATTGAACCTGGGCCACAGCAGTGAAAGTGCTGAGTCCTAACCACTGGACCACCAGGGAATACCCGAAAAATATTTCTTGTATATAGATATAATAGGAAAAACATGAGAAGACACTAAAACGTTAACCATGCTATCTTTGGGTGTTAGGACGACAGATGACCTCTTAAACATAGATTTTCTTTTGTTGAAAAGATGGTACATTTACATGGTTCGAATTCAAATAGTGCAGAACGTTGTAAAGTAAAAGTAAGTATCCCTCCCATCCCTGTCTCCTAGTCACCCAGTCTCTCCCTGCAGGCAACCTGTGCGGTGCTGTTTCCTATATATATATATATATATATATATATTTTTTTTTTTTT